TATTTAAAGTCTTTTCAGTAAAATTCATAAAAGTTTCCTTAAATAAATCAAATTTAGTTTTTTAAACTACATTGAAATCTTCTTTCTTTTTAAATTAACAAATGAAAATATGTGATATGATACAGATTACTACAGAAAGAGTATAGTTTACTTTACATATATCGTCGTTTAAAGTACAAAACCGCGTATCGTATTCTGCAAAACCGCGTAACTGACATTTGCTGCCAAAAATTGGATTTGCTCACACAAGCTCTTGGCTTCGTCCTGAAATATACTAGCCAGAAATGCGATTGCTTTATAAAAAAGAGAACAATTTTGAAATATAAGTGTTTTTACTCTCTAGAAAATTATTTATGCAACGTCACATACGCGGATTTGCATTTTGTTGATACGCAGTTTTGTAGTTTAAACGACGATATGTATGTATATTAAGATCTTGCTTAAAGCATCCTTTTAAGCTAATTAAAGCAATTGCGCTTATACCTATTTTTGTGAGATCTCTTCATATGTTCATTGCTTCGTTCACAAAAAATAAAATGCTTTAATTTCACGCTTAAGTAGCGATTCTTTATACGTTTAGAAAACGTAATGCTTTCTACCATCTTTAATGAAAATGGATTTTTGTACGAAAAAAATTTTATAGGAAATATAAAATTTTGGCCTATTTAAAAAAGTATCCACTTTTATACTGACCGGAAAAAATAAGTATCCCGCAAAAATTCGTCTAAAAATGTATCCAATTGGATCTATTTAGATCCAAACGGCATCCCTGTATACGAAGAGCGGCAGCTGAGCAGTGCATTTAACGCACACAGTTGCAGTTTTGAATAGTTTGAATGTGTTAGAATGCCGACCGCTGATCTAAACCATTTCTCTGTGATGAGAGGTCTCGCATGGTATCGGTTTTCATTTCATCAAATTTCAAATCTCCCTGTAACTTCAAAAGATAAAACCTGTGCACATCTATGTAGAATCCCAGTTCTTAAATTTGACTTCTTATTTTGGAAATTCAAAATAACGGCGCAGATGTGATGACCTTTAAAAAAAGTAGATGGCAACTCTAATTAAAAATATTATCAGTCTACAATTTTCTTAAAACTCTCTCATTTGACACTAATATTTCAATATTTCACATATTTATCTTCCGTATAAGTAAAACCAATTCGACTTTTCAAACAGGTGGCAACCTCTTTAAAAGTATTTTCAAACTAAAATCTTTCGCCTGGCATTGTTATACATATTTCAATTAACTGATGAATTAAGTTGAATTAAATTTTTTTAAGCACATGAAGCAATATAGTTTAGAAATAAATTATTTTCAAACCCATTTCGATTGATCTCTTGACGATCCATTTAACTTATTAAATAATTCGAGGTTAATTTTTTCAACAAAAAAAGCAAATGTTCAATTTAAAGATTTCTTAACACTCGTTCGTTTGATAACCATATTTTAAGATTTCATGTTACTTATGTATAATTAAACGAAATACCGCTTTCAATACAGGCGGACCTTCATAAAAATTATTTTCGAACTAAAATTTCCTTAATTTTTTTTCGTCTGACATTGTTACAAATATTTCAAGTAACTGACAAATTAAGAGGAAATTTATTTTTTAAACACGTGGTAACCCTCATAAATATAGTTTTTAAATAAAGGATTTTAAACTCATTTCCATTGATAACCATCGGTTATTAATTCATTTAATTTATTAAATAATTTTAGTTTAGCCCTTTAAGCCTCAAACACATCAAAAATATTCTAAATTGTCAAACTATGGATTTCTGAAGCTCTTGAAGCTCTTTCATTTGACATCCATCGTTAATATTTCATATAACTTAGGTATACAATAGTTCAATTATACCTCTCAAATAGGTGGCAACCCTATTCAAACTATTTCCAAACTACTACCTTCTTAAACCTCTTTTGTATGACACCCATGTAGCGATACCTTATTCACTTACCAAATTCCTTTAATTAAAATTTAATTAAATTTTTTTTAACATGCGGCAACGCTCCTATACGTAGTTAAGTTGTAAAGCCTTTTCAAAACCATTTCNATACCTTATTCACTTACCAAATTCCTTTAATTAAAATTTAATTAAATTTTATTTAACATGCGGCAACGCTCCTATACGTAGTTAAGTTGTAAAGCCTTTTCAAAACCATTTCGATTGGTATCCATATTTAATAACAGATTTAACATTTTAATTAATTTGAGCTTAATTTCTTAACAAGTGGCAACTTTTTTCGAAAAAGTAAAACATTCCTGAACATCCTTAGCCTAGCCCTTTTAAGTTGGTGCCTCACTTTTAAAAATCGAACGGACGGTGTGGATCTGAGGGCATTGATTAGTAAATAACTTGAGTTTAATTATTTAACAGGTGGCAACTCCTTTCGAAAAAATAAAACAAGTTTGCATATCTACAGGCCAAGCGCTTTAATTTGGCATCCCAGTTTTGAAAATATGCTGCACAAAAAATGCCTTCGCGTATGATATATATAGATTATATATAAAGATACCTATTTTAATTACCCCATTGCCTTAATTCAAATTGAATTTGAATGTTTAAACAGGTGGCAACCCTCCTACACGCAGTTAAGAAATAAAGTATTTTTAAAACTACTGCGATTGGTACCCAAATGGTAAATATTGATTTAATTATTTAATTAATTTTAATTTAATTTTTTAAACAGGTGGCAGCCCTCTTGAAACACTTTAAAAATATTCTAAACGTTGAAACTAAAGATTTCCTAAGATTCATTCGCTTGACGTCCATATTTTTATACTTCATATAAAATAGACTTATCAACCAGGTGGCAACCGTCTTCAAAATGTTTACAAACTACTACGTACTTAAAATTTGTCGTCTGACACCCATACATATTTCTATTACCTAATTCCCTTAATTCAAATTGAATTTGATTTTTTAACAGGTGGCAACCCTCA